CACTGCGCAAGAGTACTTCACAGAGGCCTGCAGTGGTGTATGTGTTTGCGTGTACATGCTTGCTAACTATGGTCCCCATACACAAAGTTCTCTTTATTATGTTTTCTATGTTTATTTGTTTGCAAGAATACAGTAGCTGTTCAACTGAATTCATGATAGGAAGCACCCACGCACTTACTTAGAGAAAGAGAAAGTAGGAAACCAACTCTGTGTCATAGAGCCTCTTGTAAAATGCCTGAGAGTTGTCATTTTGGTTTGTTGTTGGGGAGGGGACGCTTTTAAAGTTCACTGTCTTGTAAGCAGGCATTATGTAAACAAATGGTTAAATATCAGCGCAAGAGCGTAAGCGTTCCTAATGAGGCCTTTGGAAAGCGTTGGGTGCAGACAGCTCGACAATAGCGCAGTGTTGGTGTGGATTTAGGTCATTACTTTGTGTTGTGCCCCTGTCCCGCTCAGTGCTGCAGGGCTTTGCTCCGTAGCGTTCCAAGCTCCCTCTCATAGTTATTCAGTTGTGAGCCTTTGAGGACGACCTTCCTAAAATGTTTTCTATCAAACCACCAAACCACCCATAAGCTGACTGCTGGAGCTGGACAAACCCTCTATACACAATCTGTTTATCTGGGTCTGATTTAAGCTCTGTGTAGCAGATATCTGGTTTGTGATCTAGCTTCCACTTTGTTGCTTAAGCGGTGAGTATGCTTTGCTCCGGCAGTAGGGAGAAAAAGTGGAAAAGGGGGAGGAGTGGGGGATAGGGGGGCTAGAGCTAGGAGAGTGGAGAGTGAGAGGAGGGGAAGAGATACTGTATTTCCCATTGTACAGTATGTTTGGTTGGCCTGTTCACCAGTGATATAACTGTCCTCTGCACACTATTCATGTCTCGGTCTCTCACACATCGACAGACAGACAAAGAGACAGAGACACTTTATTTCATTGCCATCATCAAGTCTTTAAGTAATCATCATCATAATATGTTTCAATGCTTCCTTCTCCTCAAGCAAGCTGCTAGCATGGAGGCATCAGAGAGGCGGATATTGGATTAAGCTCAGAGGGTTACTATTTAGGGCCTGACTGAAGAGTTGATACACTACTTTGTGGTTGTGTCCCTTAGAAGGAGCACTGCTGTTTTAGGGAGAGAGAGCTGTGTTCTATTTCTGCCTGTGGTGGTGGAGATGACCGAGGCAGTGGCAGTAGCAGTAGCAGCACTGGGTTGCCCAAGCTATCACAGGATTACTCAACATCTCTGGACTGGACTCACACAGAGTGCTCACTTTATCAGGCACTCTGATGTACAGTGTGGTAGAGTGGTTTATTACTGGGCATAGCCAAGGGAGCTAAGCAAGGGAAGAGGAAATAATAATTAATCTAGCTACATGTAGCTACATCTATCTTGACTTATACGGATGTTTTCCTGAGCAGGAAAGGGAAGAGAAGTAGCCTGGGTCACCAGTAGGTTTCAGGATGAAGAAGACGTCTTTATCTGGTTTAATCTGGTTATCTGACCAGATAATAACCAAAATATGACATCTTTCTATGCTGTCTTGGTCATGAAAATGACGCCTTTACCTGGTTGTAATAGAGACCCATTGGTTGTAATTTGGTTATTTGACATCTTGTCAAACAGAAAAGAACAACATTGTGCAAAAGTTTGCCTGCTTGGTAAAGCATACTGTGTGTCTCAGAGCAAGTTTTAACTCAAATCCCAAACGCCCCTCAGGTTCTTGTCCCTGCTCCAGCCAATGAAATAATGATCAGTGTTCAAAGCTTTTAGCTAACAGCCCTGCGAAACACACAGGAGTTGGGCCTCTCTCTCACAGCTCTCGACTCCCCCTCCATTTTACCACTCCGCACAGGATGTCACCATCTCAGTCAAGCGTTCACAATTTGATTTAGAGCCCTTTGGAATCCCCATCAGAATTGAGTGGTGAGCAAAATGCAGAGATTGAATCATTAGTTGTTTTATTATTCATTTCCTCACAGAGAGTGTCATTGAGGCAAAGTCATTGAGAATAGTTGATTCAGGGAATTAGAACAATGTTCAGCGCTTTACTTTTATTTTCTGTACCATCGTTTGAAGATATGAGTCTTTGAAGGCCGCCAAGCCGTAGATTAGAATCTAGAGGGCTTGTCACACTACTGAGCCAAACTGTTACGGTGACCGCATTACTGCCACAACGGTGGTCACGAATCATGACTGAAGTCAAATTCCACGTGACCGCTTAGTCACAGTAACTACGCTTCTCCAAGCTCTGATGCTGCTGATGGTCATTAGTAGCCTACCAAACTTGCTAACTGCCTGGTAACTCAGCACTCTATTGTCCCTCTAATCACTCTGACATCAATGCAAATGTAATCAAAAATCTAATCAAACACTTCATGGGAGCCCATGAGCTCATGTTGCGCAACATTTCTATAGGCTATGCAATTGCTTGAGAAAACAGAGTTTTGATGGCCTCTATTCAAAAGAGGAGGATCCCATCAGTTTCTATAGGCTAGGCCTACTATATATTTTTCTCAACTTTCCTAATATTAAGCACAGGAAAAGCATCCTCCATTCGCTATTTAAGTGCATAGATGACATGTATTTTTTTCCCCTGCCTCTGTTCCGAGACCGGTGCATGTTACTGGTCCATTCTAAATAAAAATGTATTTCACACATATATTATTTCGTTTATGTAAAGACAAGATTAAATCAAGAATAGTCTGATGGGGGACAATATTAGCCTATCACTTGTGAATTATATATTATCACTTGTGAATTATATATTATCACTTGTGAATTATATATTATCACTTGTGAATGATGCCCAGCTTAAGGCAGGAAACAATGCCTTTTTTGTTGTTGACTTTTTCGAATCATAGTCGCACACCTCATGTAGCCTAGCCCATAGGCCTGTATGTTTTGATAAGGTTTGTATCACAGCTAAAGTGGCCAAATAACTTCTTAAAATTAAGCACATTAATCCGCTTTACAACCGGTGTAGAGCCTAGATGGCATACATAGGCGGCGTGTGAGTTTCAAGTTTGGGGAAGATAATTTTCACCATAAAAATACACCTTTATAATAAAGCATTACATGCATAATCGCATTTGCGGTCACTTTTGAGAATGGTGTTTTCCAGCTAATTGATTGCATTTTGGAACATTCGCGCTTATAGCCTACTGCCGTTTGCACATTGCTGCACTTATAATATGAAAAAATAGCATAATAGCTTAAATGTTGATAAACTAAAAGTTCAGATCTGTTGCATCAGCCTCATTGCTTAAAAAAAAAAATATTATGCAAGTGGTTGTATTAATTTGGGATCTATCGCATCCCACAACTGTCCCAGACTATGTTTGGAATATTTATTTCTTGCACAGAAGGACAAGTTGACCAATAGAATAGGTCAACTTTTGTACTGTGGGGGAGAGTAGATTGACATAGGCTAGTGCTTTTGCTGTTTGTTAGGTCTACTCATCTTGTTGGCTGACGAAAAGGAAATGTGGACAGTTCTTCTAAAATCTTCAATATGCACCTCGGAATTCGATAAGAAGGACGTGCGCAGTTGCGTCCCCGATGTGTCTGTCTTCACTTGTAGCCTACTTCGGAGCTGAGATGCCTGTGACTGGCATTGGCTAATAAGAATTGAGATATCTGAGAGCGCCATGTGAGTGAGAGGTGCTTCAGAGCACGCAGCCGGGAGAAGGGAATTATCATTATTATATTCAGCCCAGGGGCACAACGGCCACTGGCTGCAAAAGGCATGGATTTTTTTTTTTTACGGCCACACAAGGGGGATGCCGCCGGGAAATTTGAGGCATTATCAAGTGCTTGTCAAATTGTGAATGAGAGACTGTGTGTGCAGCCTGCGCAAGAAACAAAGCAGAGCTCATGCCTTTCTTGCAACTTTTTTTCAAATCATCATTAGTCTCATCATGCAGCCTTAGAATGTATAAAAAATCTAAACATATAGCACAACCTTTGTATCACAACTAAAGTTGCATAAATAACTCTAAATTAAGCATATAGGAGGACCTGTTTCTTTGTTAACTGCTCCACACAGAATAGCCGCATGTGCGCACTCCCTCAGAAATCGTTTGGAGAACATATCCTTTCTATTTTATTCAGCTATGTTCAATTGTATTCTTCATACTATAAAATAAAATAATGCCACCGAATTGTAAGCAAATCTTGTCTGCTAAATGAGCTAGTGTAGCCCACAGCCATATGGCATAGCCAGATCAGGGCCGAACATAAGGACAACTCAAGAGTATGCTATTCTGTTCTTCTGAAATAGACTACATTTTTCTTAATATCATGCTTCTTTAGACCTGTCTAAAATAAATAATGGATTTATTGTGATGGTGTAGGCTATATTAAATGGATTTATTAGACTTTTTAAAATATAGATGTTCCAAAAGGTCTGCATCAGTGGCTTGTAGGCTATGCGTGGAAGCCAGGAGATGCTAAATGTGTTTATATTAATTAACGGTCAATTATCATGAGACCGGCAGTTATTTACTTGACAATCACCGGCTGACAAGATTTTATGACCGCTACAGCCCTAAGCCAAACCAAGCCATGCCAAACTGTACTAAGCTGGCCGGGGTACATATCCATCCACCATAGTTACTGGAATCGTGCTGAAAAGGACAATATAAAAAGATGTCCAGGCCAGCACAGTCGGGTTCGGATCAGCACGACAGTGTGAAAAGGATATTTCAAATATTAGTGTCATCATGGGATTCAGATTGATGCTACTGAATAAATTCAAGGAAACACAACAGCAAGAGCTAAGTAAAAAAAGCAATTTGAGAGTATTGGTGGAAAAAGCCACAGGGAACTATAGTTCATGTCGCTGAATAAATATTTCTTGCACATCCTCTGTTCAGAAGCGCTTTCAAGTATTATTCTCCGGCACATCATAGAGCACTCAACAACTGATCATTTTTACTGTGGAAGATTTAAGTGCCTTCTCTTGCCTGTCACTTATAATTTGAATGTCAACTGTCACACACCCATGGCATAGTGTTGTTCCTAAGTCGGATTTGACAAGTCATGTTTTTTTTGGGAAACCGCGGCTGCTATTATTCAGCAACACTGAACGCTGCTTAACAAAAGTGTGGCGCAAAGCAGTCAATGCTCTGAGGAGCCACATGGGCATTTTGATTTAATGGCAATTATTATGCATTACTAATAAAAAATACGGTTGGCTTTACGCTGAGAAATATTTCCATGGAGATAGTGGTTATTGCCTAGCAGTTTGTTGGGTTTATTTTCACATGTATCACAAGGCGCATTCTCTCAATTGGTGTATTTAAAAAAAGAGCATAAATCCAATAATTTAAATAATCTGTCTGTTGTCATTGTCATGTATGTATCCTTTATATAACCAGGGACATCCGATTCAATTAGAAATCCTCCTTACAAAGGAGATATGCTCCATTTAAATATCAATCACCAAAGCATGTCACGACCACAGCTATAAGTCATCATAACTATTCTAAGTTTCACAATTGTCTCTTGAACTGAGTAGTTATTGTGCGGTTAGCACAAAGACACACGCACAAATGCACATACACACACACACACACACACCCACACACACAAAAACAAACACACATAGATCTTTCTTCTTCTCTCCTCCAGTGAAGTCATCCTCTCCAACATCGACCTCAGCCTGTCTGGCAACTGGGAGTGCCAGGTGACCAGTTCCCGTGGCAACAGGTCCAGACAGATGGAGATTGTTGTGTTGGAGACGTCAGCACCCTACTGCTCAGCAGACAGGGTCAGCAGCAACAAGGGAGACTTCAGGTAGGTGCTCTGACCAGACCAGACACAAGGACCTCTTCTGGTCAAGGCTAAATGTCAATGTCTAAGGTCAGCTACAGTGCAGCAAGGTGGCTAAAAACAAGCCTGACCTCATGTGGGCATTCAAGAAGACCAAGTGTTATGAGAAAATGAAATGTGAAAGCCCAATGACTCACTAAACTCCGCTCTGCTCAAGTAGGAAACTCCTGAAGAATATTAGATAACAAAGAAAGTAAACAGTCAAATGAAAAACATTTCCTTGGAATGCAAGTACTGCTTAGCTAGCAATTATCCCCACGAATTAGGAAACCCTGTGTTTCATATCAATCAACAAAATGCAAATACATCGGTCCCGAGCTTTATAGCTGTCTATAAAACAGTCCAATTAGTCTCTGACTGGATCTCCACGAGACTTGGGTTCAAATACTTTGAGCATTTGCTTCAGTCTGCCTGGAGTGCCAGATGGGAGGGGTTTTACTATTTTGGGACTATTCGATTGGTTCTATTGTGTCAGGCAAGCACAGATAATAGTATTTGAAATGATTGCAAATGGTATTTGAACCCAGGTCTCCCTCCCTGTCCATCTGGAAGGCTTGAGAAGTTGACTTTTTCTCTCCCTCCTGTCTTGTTTTCGTGAATCCTCCATTGTTGTTGTGTATTTCTCCTGTACTTTACAGCCCACTTCCAGTGCAGCGAGCAGAGAGGCTTTGCTTCTGCCCAGTAGTGACGTAATGTGCTGGAGAATGAGACCCTTTTTTGTTGGTGGGAAATTAGTGCCTTACATTACTAAGTAGCCGGTGCCATGATGACAGGGAGAAAGCCAGACAGATTCCTCACGAACACAACAGATTTTCCTCAGTCTCTCCTCAATTGACTCCCTTTGTTTTCACTTTATGAAAAATTGGCAAAATTACATTGTTGAAATGAAACAAGCTTGTCTTTTTTTTAGAGTATTTTCAGGGTATAGACTGCAGTAAGATTAAAATGTAATATGCAGTGCCATTATGATTGTTTACCTGTTATGCAGATCAACAGTATATGATAACTTAGTAATGCGACATAATAACAAAGCAAAGTGTCACATATGATGTCATCGGGAAATCAAGGCTTATGGTGGATCATGGTGACAAGGATATTGATACCATCTCTTGTGACAGGTGGCCAAAGACCCTGGCAGGGATACTGACCTTCCTGCCCTGTGCTCCATCCACATTTGGCTCTGCCCCCCAACCTTCTGGCGCCTCTTCACACCACCCCATTCAGAGGGCGAAGAAGGCCTGGCGACGCTGTGACCGGACAGGCCAGTGGGCAGAGGACGACTATACCCAGTGCCCGTATGCCAGCGAGGTGACACGTGTACTGCACGAGCTCACCCAGGTAGGACAGCAATTCACTCCACAAATCCCACCTTTAACCCAGGAGAGTCAGGCACTGAACTCTCACCTTACATCCACACTATTATCTCAAACATAGATTTCCGGCTTTCTCACTAGCAGAAACAACGCGAGACAAAGGGGTCGAAAACAGAATAATCTACGACCTTCTATTATGTTGTATTTGTGCTTAGCAATTTGTTTTAGTTAAGGTAATATCTTGCTTAATTTATGCCCATATGCACATATAAAATGCATCTAAATCCAAGTGATCTAGCCTCTTCTAACCCAACCACTGTTCTGTCTCCAGATGACCATCAACACCAGTAATGCCCAGCCGTTAGCCCAGCAGCTGGTAGCCTTCACCAGCAGGGCAGGGGACTTCAGCGATGTGATGGATGTCATCTTTGTCACACACCTGGTTGAGAGGCTGACTTGCCTAGTGGACCAGCTCAGAGACGTACGTATTATAGCAGCACTTATCTGCTGTTCATACGCACAGAAGATTGCACACACACCTATGCACGCTCGCGCACAAACACACAAAAAACAAACACACACACACACACAGCACTTAGCCTCAGCATCCATCCAGCAGTCCACTAAAACTTTATAATGTGTTTGATTAGACACTCTTAAGTTCAAGGAATGATACAATAAAGAACCCAAGCTGTTTTCTTTGGACGAGCTGTTTATAGTCCAATGAAAGGCACGTATGAATGTCTGTCTCTTTTTGCTCCGGTAGCTGGCTAGTCTACTCCAGCTCCATAAATGCTAGACTATGGGTGCTAATTTCCCTGAGATGTCATCAGTGCAGCAATTTGGTAACATGCCATTTGTGGGGAAACTATACAGTGCCTTAAATGTATTGAAAATTAAATACAGAAATATCTCATTTACATAAGTATTCACACCCCTGAGTCAATACTTTGTAGAAGCACCTTTGGCAGTGATTGCAGCTGTGAGTCTTTCTGGGTACGTTTCTAAGAGCTTTCCACACCTGAATTTGTCCATTATTCTTTTCATAATTCTTCAAGGTCTGTCAAATGGGTTGTTGATCATTGCTAGACAACCATTTTCAGGTCTTGCCATAGATTTTCACGTAGATTTAAGTCAAAACTGTAACTCGCCCACTCAGGAACATTCACGGTCTTCTTGGTAAGCAACTCCAGTGTATATTTGGCCTTGTGTTTTAGGTTATTGTCCAGCTGAAAGGTGAATTTATATCCCAGTGTCTGGTGGAAAGCAGACTGAACCAGGTTTTCCTCTAAGATTTTGCTTAGCTCCGTTCAGTTTATTTTTTATCCTGAAGAACTCCCCAGTCCTCACAAGCATACCCATAACATGATGGTACAGAGATGAGGTAGTCATTCAAAAATCATATTAAACACTATTATTGCACACAGAGTGAGTCCATGCAACTTACAGTGCATTCGGAAAGTATTCAGACCCCTTGATTTTTTTCCACATTTTGTTACGTTACAGCCTTATTCTAAAATGGATTCAATTGTATTTTTACTTATCAATCTACACATAATTCCCCATAATGATAAAGCAAAATCTGGTTTTTAGACATTATTGAAAATGTATATAAAAATAAAATAAAACAAATATCACATTTACATAAATATTCAGACCCTTTACTCAGTACTTTGTTGAAGCACCTTTGGCAGCGATTACAGCCTCGAGTCTTCTTGGGTATGACGCTACAAGCTTGGCACACCTGTATTTGGGGAGTTTCTCACATTCTTCTCTGCAGATCCTCTCAAGCTCTGCAGGTTGGATGGGGAGTGTCACTGCACAGCTATTTTCAGGTCTCTCCAGAGATGTTAGATTGGGTTCAAGTCCAGGCTCTCACTGGGCCACTCAAGGATATTCAGGAACTTGTCCCGAAGCCACACCTGCGTTGTGTTGGCTGTGAGCTTAGGGTTGTTGTCCTGTTGGAAGGTGAACCTTCACGCCTGAGCACTCTGGAGCAGGTTTTCATCAAGGATCTCTCTGTACTTTGCTCTGTTCATCTTTGCCTCGATCCTGACTAGTCTCCCAGTCCCTGCCACTGAAAACATCCCCACAGCATTATGCTGCCACCACCATCCTTCACCGTAGGGATGGTACCAGGTTTCCTCCAGAAGTGACGCTTGGCATTCAGGCCAAGGAGTTCAATCTTGTTTTCAACAGACCAGAGAATCTTGTTTCTCATGGTCTGAGAGTCTTTAGGTGCCTTTTGGCAAATTCCAAGCAGGCTGTCATGTGCCTTTTACTGAGGAGTGGCTTCTGTCTGTCCACTCTACCTTAAAGGCCTGATTGGTGGATAACTGCAGAGATGGTTGTCCTTCTGGAAGATTCTCCCATCTCCACAGAGGACTGGAGCTCTGTCAGAGAGACCATTGGGTCCTTGACCAGCTTTCTGACCAAGGCCCTTCTCCCCCGATTGCTCAGTTTGGCCTGGCGGCCAGCCCTAGGAAGAGTCTTGGTGGTTCTAAACTTCTTCCATTTAAGAATGATGGAGGCCACTGTGTTCTTGGGGACCTTCAATGCTGCAGACATTTTTTGGTACCCTTCTCCAGATCTATGCCTTGATACAATCCTGTCTCAGAACTCTACGGACAATTCCTTCGACCTCATGCCTTGGTTTTGCTCTGACGTGTACTGTCAACTGTGGCCCCTTATATAGACAGGTTTGTGCCTTTCCAAATCATGTCCAATCAATACCACAGGTGGACTCCTATCAAATTGTAGAAGCTCAATTTCGAGTCTCATAGCAAAGGGTCTGAATACTTATGTAAATAAGGTATTTCTGTTTTTGCAAAAATGTGAAAAAACCTGTTTTCGCTTTGTCATTATGGGGTATTGTGTGTAGATTGATCAGGATTTTTATTTATTTAATCAATTTTAGAATAAGGCTGTAACGTAACAAAATGTGAACGCACTGTATATACAAAAGTATGTGGACACCGCTCTAAATGAGTGCATTCGGTTATTTCAGCCACACCCGTTGCTGACAGGTGTATACAATCGAGAACACAGCCATGCAATCTCCATAGACAAACATTGGCAGTAGAATGGCCTTACTGAAGAGCTCAGTGACTTTTTACATGGCACTGTCATAGGATGCCACCTTTCCAACAAGTCAGTTCGTCAAATTTCAGCCCTGCTGCCCCGGTCAAGTGCTGTTTTTGTGAAGTGGAAACGTCTAGGAGCAACAACGGCTCAGCCGCGAAGTGGTAGGCCACACAAGCTCACAGAACAGGACCGGCAAGTGCTGAAGCGCGTAGCGCGTAAAAATCGTCTGTCATCTTTTGCAACACTCACTACCGAGTTCCAAACTGCCTCTGGAAGCAACGTCAGCAGAAGACCTGTTCACCGGGAGCTTAATGAAATGGGTTTCCATGGCCGAGCAGCCGCACACAAGCCTAAGATCACCATGCGTAATGCCAAGCATCGGCTGGAGTGGTGTAAAGCTCGCCACCATTGGACTCTGGAGCAGTCTAAACACGTTTTCTGGAGTGATGAATCACGTTTCACCATCTGGCAGTCCGACGGACAAATCTGGGTTTGGCGGATGCCAGGAGAATAACACATGCCCCAATGCATACTGCCAACTGTAAAGTTTGGTGGAGGAGGAATAATGGTCTGGGGCTGTTTTTCATGGTTCAGGCTAGGCCCTTTAGTTCCACTGAAGGGAAATCTTAACGCTACAGCAAGGTTCTTAAATTCCGGTCCTGGAGGGCCTAAACACCTCTGTTTTTCATCCTCTCCTTCTAATCAGGGGCTAATTCAAACCTGGGACACCAGGTAAGTGCAATTAACTACCAGGTAGAAATAAAAAACAGAAGTGTTTCGGCCCTCCAGGACCGGAATTGAAGAACCCTGCGCTACAGCATACAATTACATTCTAGACGATTCTAACAACTTTGTGGCAACAGTTTGGGGAAGGCCATTTCTTGTTTCAGCATGACAATGCCCCCGTGCAGAAAGTGAGGTCCATACAGAAATGGTTTGTTGAGATCGGTGTGGAAGAACTGGACTGGCCTGCACAGAGCCCTGACCTCAACCCCATCGAACACCTTTGGGATGAATTGGAACGCTGACTGCGAGCCAGGCCTAATCGCCCCCATCATCAGTGCCCGACCTCACTAATGCTCTTGTGGCTGAATGGAAGCATGTCTCCGCAGCAATGTTCCAACAGCAGTTGTTATAGCAGCAATGGGGTTACCAACTCCATATTAATGCCCATGGAATGAGATGTTCGACAGCAGGTGTCCACATACTCTTGGTCATGTAGTGTATTAAGTGGTATTGTGTGTAGGCCAGTGATTTAAAAAATCTAAATTGAATAAATTTTAAAATCAGGCTGTAACACAACAAAATGTGGAAAAAGTTTAGGGGTATGAATGCTTTCTGAAGGCACTGTACATATTGTTAGCTGCTATTCCTGATCTGACATTATTTAAGCCTGTGAGTGCTTTGAAAACAGTGATTTGCCTAATTCTGAGGAGTGATTTGCAAGAATAGACTTCAGGCTTTCTGTATGAAACTGTTCTGTCGACAGCTTAAATGGAAGCAGCAGGGTCACAGAACTCGATTTGTACGTAACTGTACATTACGTTTCATGTACTCACAGTTCAGGAATAAAGGCGTCTTATCCTGCCACCGTCCAGCCTATACTATATATAATATACCTTCAATATATTCTAAAAAGCTGTGCATTTTTTAATTGTCCTTTTTTTCTTGCTTATGACAATAATGCACCTGAGGTATGGTGATGAAGAGATCATTCAGCTATCCCCCTAACAAATTCAAAATGGCTTTCCTCTATACGATTGAAGACAACTACAGGGTCTGTGAGAAGATCATTATTTGGAGCTCTCATCTCCGAGCCACTTGCCATAGGTAAACACGGGGTCATACTAGAAAACCTACCAATACTTGGATCCCCAGATACACAATGATTAATGCCAACCCAGTCTCTCCACAAAACAGTTAGATTAAATAACTCTGACGTTAATTTAAATAGTTCAACTGTCATCACAATGAAGTGATTATGCCCCATTGGAGCCGCTAATCTAAATTAAATCTTTATACAATTAATAAAGTCACCATCACCACCCTCAGCATTCCGTTTTGGTATAATAAATGGCTTTTCTTTAATGGATGTGGTAGATGACAGATCTACTTTCTCTCTACCTGAATCCTGTAGCTAGGGGACTGTATCTCTGACATAGCCAGTAACATGATGCTGGTGGAGGAACACATCCTGTGGATGGCTCAGAACGAGGCCAGGGCGTGTACTCGCATCGTCCAGTGTGTGGAGCGAATCGCTGACCTGGCTCTCACCATAGACACGCAGGTCATATCAAAGGTAGGTAGACAAACATCAAATGCACTTAAATGTCTATAAATACAATTTTAACACTTTAACCTCTTAAAGGATACAGGTGTTGGATCTTAATTTTGACCAGTATTGTCGCAGCAAAATAATCCTGCAGCAATAGGATTTTAACGTTTAGTCCATTCACACTTTTCCGTGGATGTAATGTTGCTTGATTGTGGTAAGACTCTTAGCTGGCCAAAATTAGGCTTCATGAAAAGTGCAATACTGTTAATGTAGCCATGTGTTAGTGCGGGTGTTCAGTGAATTTATGTAATTCCTTCAACCCCAGGAAAATTCTCAGCAACAACAGAGTGATCAAATTAAGATCCAATATCTGTACCTTATAAAGTGTTACCAAGATTGGTTTCAGAATCAAAGCTAGTTCATCAACCTTTTAGTCTCACAGCTCAGCATGACAGCAATTCTGTTTTGTTTCGTCAACATCTTTTTATTGATTCAACACAGAATAACACTGACACATTCAACAATTTCAATGATCAGCTATTTCAGACCCGGAAGATAAACTCACTCCACCCTCCTTATCACTCTGTTTCCATCCAGGTGTCCCCTAACATAGCCCTGGAGGCCTTTCTGATCAGGCCGTCTAACTTCCAGGGTCTTTCGTGTACGGCAGTACAGAGAGCCCCCCTTCCACCCCTCTCTGGTCAGAGGGCCGATGGGGACCAGGATGCCATCGGGGACCTGCTGCTCAACTTCAAATGTCACCCGGTCAACGGCAGCGGCTCCCCCGCCAGCCAACTCCGCAAGGTACAGTACATAGAAATAGATTGGCTTGATAATAAAGCACACACTGAATGATGAAATTCCTGCTTTTACTCCCTGGTTAATGGGTATAACATACACATATTGCCGCTGGACCCCCCATTACAGACTGTTGACTTGAATGCGGATGTCTGTTCTAGGAATTATACTGTACTTCTATGATACAGTAAGAGTTAATCACAGATTGGACGTTTTTATTTCTGTCCTAAAGTTTCTCTGTCTATATTTCTGTACATAATGCAGCTTATTATGGTAAATAATGAAATGTACCCACTGCTCGTTGTGTAAGAATAACAGGGCAGGGCTCCTGTCTGGCAGAGTTGATGGTGTCTATTACTCTCCATAAATTGACATCCTGTTTTGGTGCCGTGTCATGGTGTAAATCAGCCGTGATAGGCTGCGCTGTAAAGGGGGAGGAGTGGGGATTGGTGGGTTAGTTTTGAAGTCCGAGTATGCAGGCCACTCACCTGTGATGGATACTGTGGCCTTGTATCCGTGTCACACTAAATCACTGTTATCCTGTCATAACGCCTGCTGGCTCATCCCAAATGACAGATGCCACTTCAGCAGACACCTTACGGTCTACAGATGCAGACAGGGAAAAACACTCCTCTGGCATTGAAGGGGCATTGTTTTGCAATATTTCAGTATGTAGTTATACCCTTCAGCTACTGTGTGTGTGTGTGTGTGTGTGTGTGTGTGTGTGTGTGTGTGTGTGTGTGTGCGCGTGTGGGTGAGTGTGTTTCTGCGTGTTTGCTTGCGTGCCTGCGTGTTTCTGCGTGTTTCTTAACTGTGTCCTCTTCTGATTAGATTAGACTGTCTAGTATGTTCAGCTATTATTTAGCTTGGTCGGAGGGCCCAGTGCAGCTATGCAGTATTTTGAGATAAAATAGCCATGGGGGAGAAAGCAACACAGTCCTTTAATGACTAAGCTGTCCCTTTGTGATGATCAATGACAGAGGTTGAGAGTATGACTAGGCTTATAGAAGTGAACCAATTCCAAACCAAACCTGTGTGGCTTGATAGACAGGGAGTGATTGTCATTGATTGTGAGGGGCGCTCAGAGCAGCAGTGAGGCTACTTAGGGTTGGGATGGGGATGCTGCCAGCCAGCCCTCTCTCTCTCTCTCTCTCTCTCACTCTCAGCCCTATCTCTCTCTCTGTCTCTTGCTCTCAGTCCTCTCTCGCTGCCTCTCTCTCCTAACTAGGCTTTTTTAAACCCTGGCACTGGACTCTTTCTTGCTAGCCTCTGCTCTGGGAGTACAACCCTCCGACGTGGCACTGCATATGCGAAGGCCCCTCCAATTACTGCCGATCTGGCACGGCCTCACAGGCCCTTCCTCACTGCACTGTAACAGCCGCCCTGGCAGCCCCTCACATCCCCTGTTTAGATTGCGCTTTTCCACCCCAGTAATTTCTCATGTAGGCATCGGGTAGGATTGTTTTGTGCATAGGAATGCCATTTACAGGATTAGAATAGGAATCCTGGAGAAATCAGTTTACTGTTATTGGGTTATTTTCTTGTGGAAAACAATGACAGTCAACTCAACCAGCAATAACTGACAATATTTAGCTATTGCTACATGACAATAGCAATTGTTTGTGGCTCTCACCAAATGAGCGATGTCATCCTGATGTAGACAACAGTTATGTTGGGATTCCCCCCTTTGAATTCCAATATGGTGGTTACTGGCACATGTCCCTAGGCAAGGCTTCTCCCATTGGGGGGCAATTCAACTTCTGTTTGTAGTGCCTCCCGGTGGCTGGAGGTGTAGGTGCAGGGGGGTTGCAGGGCTCAGTGGTTCCCTTTGACTGTCCCACTCCTCATTACGTTGACTATGAGGACATCGTGTGTGTTCAGTGTTCATTTAGAGAGCAAATCCATTCAGGCCACACACACACACACACGGTTCTTCCACTCTCACACCCTCAGTAAAACCGACTCAGACCTACAACATCCTTTAGGAGGAGAGGCTGCTTCCACACATATCACTGTTCCCATCTCTCCTTTCCCCAGTATGTTGTCTCATGTTTAGATTAATTGTAGACCACCCCCTCTTTGTGCTGTCGTTAGTTCAGTGTACTCTGATGGTGTTTAACTTTAGGACCGCTAAAGCAGTCATTTTGACTGCTCATGATTGTTTTTGTATTACTCTGCCATTTTTTTACTCATACCGCCCTCCGTCCTTGACTTTTCCTAAATAAGTCTATATATCACACTGCTGTTGTCAGAATCTTTAATATCACAAACAGAACTGGAGTTATAACCAGTTTTAGGAGGGCATGTCATTTTTTAAAATGGTTTTCCCCAGTTGCCCCTCCTTCTCCCAACAGTAGGGCCTGCTCCTCTCCTTCTTCCGACAGTTGAAAGTGCAGTGCCCAGCTGATAATCCCCACGACAATTGCCTCGAAACACATATAACAACAGATTTAATAAATGATGTAAAGTATGATAAGGAGAATGGGTGAGTTGATGAGCGAGGGGAAGCGAAAGAAGTGAAATCACCAATTGTGAATGAAGAACAGGGCGGGCCATTCTATTGTATTGATCCATTCTAATTATAGGCCTAATCTTAAAATGGTATGTACACTATATCACTTCACTTAATCAAAGCAGTCTTATCAGTCTACTCTGGCCTACTTGGAGTAGGCTACACAGCGAGAGCGTGCGTAATTGTACATGCTGAATGGCTTTCAATCTCTGGGAAAATATCCACATCGGGCAGCAGGCGCTAGTGTCGGAGAATGTGGTGATGAGGCTTGTGAAACCTTATATTGGCAAGGGGTGCAATGTCACCATGGACAATTTCTTCACTTCACTGTCATTGGCGAACAAGTTGCTTGCAAAGAAAACAAGTTTGGCCGGCACCATGAACAAAGTGAGACGGGAGCTCCCTCCCTCTGCACAAAATAAGGCACCTGCACAGGCGTTATACTCCACAACGGTGCTAAAGAATGACAAGACAATGGGACACAATCAAGAGAAAACTGCATACTATTACGCGCTACAACCAAACAAAGGTATGTCAAAGTGTGTCAAGCACACTTTGGCGCAGTGGTCTAAGGCACTGCATCGCAGTGCTAACTGTGCCACTAGAGATCCTGGTTCGAATCAAGGCTCTGTCGCAGCCGGCCGCGACCGGGAGACTCATGGGCAACGCCAGGGTTGTGGGTTCGATTCCCACGGGGGGCCAGTATAAAAAAAATATGTATTCACTAACTTTAAGTCGCTCTGGATAAGAGCGTCTGCTAAATGACTAAAATGTAAAATGTAAGTGAAAGTTACAAAAATTGTGCCAACTGTTAGGACAAGGGATAACAGCTAAATGAAATCCAACTGATGCCATTGGGTGAAGATGCACACAAGCACAAGCTGACAATAATTGACAGTTATATACATTATATTGCTTTTGTACCGAGTTTCACTATTTATCAAGGCCACTTGGCGCTTATAATGATGTTTAGGAAACGGATGTTTTTTCATCATTTGACCGCGTGTCTTTTGACTGCACTTCTTTGTGGTTGGGATATTTTGTATTTTATATTGTCGTTATAAAAACAAGCTGTTACCAGGTTCCAACACATACGCTTTCTGTTTCATCTTTTTAACAAAGGCACTCCACAAATAAAATTGATTGAACTCTTGAATTTGGGCTTTTTTTATTTTAGATTTTTAGATTTTACATACAGTGCTTTCGGAAAGTATTCGGACCCTTTACTCAGTACTTTGTTGAAGCACCTTTGGCAGCGATTACAGCCTCGAGTGTTCTTGGGTATGACGCTACAAGCTTGGCACACCTGTATTTGGGGAGTTTCTCCTATTCTTCTATGCAGATCCTCTCAAGCTCTGTCAGGTTGGATGGGGAGCGTCGCTGCACAGCTATTTTCAGGTCTTTCCAAAGATGTTAGATCGGGTTCAAGTCCGGGTCTGGCTGGGCCACTCAAGGACATTCAGAGACTTGTCCCGAAGCCACTCCTGCGTTGTCTTGGCTGTGTGCTTAGGGACGTTGTCCTGTTGGAAGGTGAACCTTCGCCCCCAGTCTGAGGTTCTGAACGCTCTAGGTTTTCATCAAGGATCTCTCTGTATTTTGCTCCGTTCATCTTTCCCTCGATCCTGACTAGTCTCCCAGTCCCTGCTGCTGAACAACATCCCCACAGCATGATGCTGCCACCACCATGCTTCACCGTAGGGTGGTGCCAGGATTCCTCCAGACGTGACGCTTGGCATTCAGGCCAAGGAGTTCAATCTTGGTTTCATCAGACCAGAGGCTCTTGTTTCTCATGGTCTGAGTGTCCTTTAGGTGCCTTTTGGCAAACTCCAAGCGGGCTGTCATGTGCCTTTTTACTGAGGAGTGGCCTCCGTCTGGCCATAAAGGCCTGATTGGTAGAGTGCTGCAGAGATGGTTGTCCTTCTGGAAGGTTCTCCCATCTCCACAGAGGAACTCTGGAGCTCTGTCGGAGTGACCATTGGGTTCTTGGTTAGCTCCCTGACCAAGGCCCTTCTCCCCCAATTGCTCAGTTTGGCCGTGGTGGCCAGCTCTAGGAAGAGTGTTGGTGGTTCCAAACCTCTTCCATTTAAGAATGAGGATGGCCACTATGTTCTTGGGGACCTTCAATGCTGCAGAAATGTTTTGGTACCCCTCACCAGATCTGTGCCTCGACACAATCCTGTCTCGGAGATCTACGGACAATTCCTTCAACCTCATGGCTTGGTTTTTGCTCTAAAATGCACTGTCAACTGTGGGACCTTATATAGACAGGTGTGTGCCTTTCCAAATCATGTCCAATCAATTGAAGTTACCACAGGTGGACTCCAATCAAGTTGTAGAAACATCTCAAGGATGATCAATGAAACCAGGATGCACCGGAGCTCAATTTCGAGTCTCATAGCAAAGTGTCTGAATACTTATGTAAATAAGGTATTTCCGTTTTCTATTTTTAATACATTTGTAACCTAACAAAATGAGGAAAAAGTCAAGGGGTCTGAATACTTTCCGAATGCTCTATATAGCCTACAGTTACATAAACTAGTGAAAATGCTATTGTGTTAGTTGAAATAAAGTACAAATCATATTCTAATGTTACCCAAGGCCTTCATAAACACAAACAAATGAGTATTTTTGCTATAGCATATATGAAATATATGAATGACACTGTTAGAATGTTGCTGTCTGAATGACTGCTCATTAGCTTGAACGGGGGTCCATCGACGCCCAGCGGTTCTAGTGTTAAGCCAAAGTGCTGTTTTATCAACCGCTCTCTGAGTGTCTGATCTCCTCTCTCTCACACTAGCTGTTTCTCATGCACGTTTAGTGCTGTGCCAGGTTAAACTGAACGATGGCACAAATACCATGCACAGCCAAACGAGAGACATAGTGTCAGCATTGCACCACAGATGCACTCACGCATGCACACAGACACACAGACACACACACATATACACACACACACACACACACACACACACACGATAGATGCCAGACCTCAGCCACCAGCTCCATCCAACACAAATGGTTTCAAATGTCTGGCTGGTAGCTAATTGGGTTGGATAACAGTGAAATAGGTTTGTGGATTTCCTCAAAAGAATTCCACTCAAAGACCACACACTCCCCCCATACCCTTCTGCCAAGCTGCACAGTTAGTTTTGGCCTTTTTACTTCCAACAGAATGTCTAATAACAGAATATCAGGTGCATCATACAGTATTTTATAGAGTCTGCCAGTAAACTACTGTACTATTTAAAATGAAAACACAAAAAAAGATATAATCATGCATTTAGTTTAATTTCACACATTTTGCATGCCTAATAATAGAGATTAGTTCTAGAGAGGAGAAGCATTCTCATGGACTCAATGTGTGACAGAAAGCTAATGATGCTGTCTTTGATAAGCTCACCTGAGTTTAACTCTACATCGTTCATATTATTACCTACTTATCATCAAAGCAGATTGTCTTTCAGTGCCATCTGGTAAACACAATTCATCTTATCTGATGTAATTGCCCACGAGCATTTTTCAGTTTTCTACATTGTCTTATGTTATGTCCTTAATTTAACTGCTGATCAATCTTTGTCCTTTGACGGTGAATCTGATTCTTAGAAAAAGCCTGACTATGTTTAGGTTCAAAGTCTGACAATTAGACATCTAGGCTGACATTTTCCCACCTAATCACACACTCATGCATAAAATAACAGTTTTGAATAGT